GTAAAATAAAATAAACAAATTGCTAACAAAAGTATTCATGAAGACTAAGACCATTATTTTAAATTCAAGTACAATCATTCTCTATATTAAATAAAGCATCAGACAAATAAATCTTTTAAAATGTCCTACCATTGTAGAATTTTCCTCTGGCCGACGTCAAGTGTTCGGTTGAGAAATCTTGTGAATGTTCTCTGTGAAGATATCATCACTATTTAAAGAGCAAGCTCATGCCATGGTAACATGGTTTGTTGTTGGCAACAAAGAGGTTAAGTCCAATTATGTTAATGTAATTCATAGATGACTGCAGTGCACTAAACAAACAGGCCTAGTTACATCCCAGTGCTTCATGTTTCCTGCAAAAGACACGCTAACAGGCCAACACTCGCCCAGTCATCCACAGGCATTAATATTTAACCCTGCATTGGTAAATCACATCTTAACAGAATTGGGTGAGGTTTCAGATGGAAGAACAATGTAAAACAGAAGTTAAGGGAAAGATGGGAGTGTGAAATTAAAAATGTTTTGGTCCAACAATGCTAACCCTTTGACAGCACACTAAAAGCAATCACTATTTTTCATACTTATGGTTAAGGATTAAATCAAACCCCCAACTCTAAATGTCTGTTCACAACAAGAGTGAAAACAGCCAAATCTACTTCTCTAAAATCTCTTTCTCGTTCTTTGTTTCTGTCTCTACATAAGCTGTACAAACTCACTGTAATCTGAAGCACTTACTATGTCATTTCTGTACCCTAATTAAGTCTGTAAACTATTGTTAACCGGCCAGGTGGCCATGGAGCTCAAGAACAAACAATTCTCATCTGTTCCCTGAAAGTTCCCATGACAATAGATGCACATGAAACATAATCAAGTCAGAAGGGGGAGGGTGGAGCTTTGTTCAAAATGTTAGGCTATGGCTATGTCCCCCCCCCCCCCCCCCCACCCAATCTGATTCAAATCACATCACGTCTCGAGCTATGTTCCTGTCAGTACAAATCTGATTTTTGATCAATTTAGCAAGCGTAAACTTCAAATAATAATACAAAATTAACATGAAATGCGATTTTTTACAAATCCGTTTCGAGCTAACTGTGAACGCACAGTAAGTTACATTCATATGTGGTTTAAAATCCTATTTAAATCGCATTTCTGGAAATCCTTTTTAGTCTGACTGCTCCGATCGGATTTCGCGTAGTTTATGTCAGTAGGTTACGTTACGTTAACTGCAGTCAAAGAAACCGCAACAAACGTAACTTAATTCTGTTTCTCTAATGCGAGACCTTTAACGTTATTTTAAAAGACGTCCGTGAAAGCTATGACGCATCTCTGTCAGACGCAATTTAAGCAAAGAGTGCCTGAGAAAAACGCGCTGTCCTGATTCAGTATCTACGGTCAGATGATATGTTGTCAGGATATTTGTCAGTGTCATTATTCTAACGTTATTGTCGTTACTTGGTACAAAATAAAGCCTCACCTCAGAAAAAACGAACTTGTTTTGTGTTAAGTAAAGTGGGACGGTACTTGTGTGTGTCAAGCACTTTTGTGAAATAAATTTGCTTAGTTTGGGTCGCGGTTGTCGGTTGTCATAGATATAACGTTACGTATATCCATGGCGGTTGTTGTTTTTGGCGTATAACGCAGCGTCATTGCCATAGAAACCAATGCAGATATTCCAGAAAACGAAAGAGCGCATGCATATAAGTACAGCTCGCTATCTGAACAGACATTTTTTTTTATCAGATTCCAATCGAATAGACAAATAATTGGATTTGGGCTGACAGTATTAACGTTTCAGAAAAACCACAGGGATTACAGCACAGCACAGAACGCATCACAATACCTGTCTAATCCAGACGTCGCTTGGATTTTCTTGTGCGATGGAGCAGTTTTGTACAGAAGACCGACAGAGCGCTTATTTAACGTAAATTAGAGAGCGAGACGATGCACCACCATTTTCCAGCATCCGTTTGGGAAAAAACGCCTCGTCACATACATGGGTACGCCTACGTCGTTACCAATGCATTGCAACCCATGCAAATAAATTGCTTATGTCTGGACACATTGGATCCCGAATAGTGCAGACAGTCTGCCTGAAAAGATCTGTTTTGAGAAAAAAAAATCCTATTTGCCTGCAGTCTGAACAGCCTTGCTGCTGCTAATATAATAAATTAGCATAAATGCTGCTATCTGTGTTGTATATTTTGAAGCTCACAGGCTTAAGATTTCGGTTAGCCAAGGAATAAGATGGTTATCAAAGGGCTGTAAACGTAGTTCAGGCTTTCATATGCGATGCGAGTAATGTAACATTATAAGTATTAAAGGGATACTCCACCCAAAAATGACAAATCTGTCATCATTTACTCACCCTCAAGTTGTTGCAAACCTGTATGATTTCCTTTCTTCTGCTGAACACAAAGGAAGATATTTTGAAGAACGATTGGAACCAAACAGTTGTGGGGCACCTTCCATAGTATTTTTTTCTTTCTACTATGGAAGTCAATGGTGCCAAAGAACTGTTTGGTTCCAATCGTTCTTCAAAATATCTTCCTTTGTGTTCAACAGAAGAAAGAAACTCATACATGTTTGCAACAACATGAGGGTGAGTAAATGATGACAGAATTTTCATTTTTGGGTGGAGTATCCCTTTAAGAAACAAGCGATGCTTAGATTTAGGACCCTTAACATATGTTATTAAAATGATCCCATGACAAAAAGTGGATGTATGATGCAAGATGAACGAGATCGAGGACCCTAGATTTGAAGTTCAGCATGATTTTAATTTTATTATGCTTTTTAAAGTCTGCCAGACAGGGTGGTTCACAGAGTACTGCATGTTAAGACAGAGCATCCGGACATAATGCTGCAGGACACAATTTACCCTTTCTGATCAAATGTATATAGTTAATGTGATACATCTCAGTTTTTCCACAGGCTAGTTGTAAATATCAGAACCTTTATCATTTAGATATCAAGAGTCACCAAACATTTACACTCTTTTGTTAGGAGGAACCATGAATAGACCTGCATCTCTTGCAGCTGTCTGTTCATGTCAAACGTCTGATAAATATTTGAATATTCAAAACTGATTCAAATATAGAGCTTCTTGGGAGAGAAAATTAAAGCTCTGGTATGTAAACAGGTCAGAGAGAGAGATAATATATAAACTAAGATTTACACAATACAGACTGACAATGTCAGAATTTATAATACATTAGAGTAACAGTTTACAGCACAAATGAATTAGCAGCTAATTTACCCTCTTTGGTAGATTCCACACTGTTTTGGCAAAAAATAGATTCCCAGAATATATGACATCAAATTTTGACATTAGGTATTAAAAAAAGAGATGCAATTTGGTAAGTAGTTGAAGCACTTTTACATTCCAACCAATCCATTTTAACCAGCTAAACATGCTAAAATTCTAAGTCATTGTCATTTCTTAACAATGCAGTGTCAACATTATAGAAAACTGAATTTTATTAAAAAGAGATGTTTGTGCACATATTTCTATTGAGCATTACAGCTGTAATTCATCAAATGACAAAGAAGATAATTATAACCAGGCATATATCCATATGTGGATGCAGTCAAGCACACTTTTGCCATTTTGAATAAGTGATTCAGCCTGGATCACAGTGGTGGCGTGATATCAGCTCAATTCATTCAGTGAATTCCACCCAAATCCTGCATGTAATCAGAGTATCAGTGCACTACAGAATACATTTTCCTAGATCAATACCCACTGAAAATTTCAATCTATTTTTGACCTGATTTTCTATTTGAAATCTCAGTAAGATTACAAAAATGAGATTCTTCATTTTTCTCCAGAATAAAGCATATGTGCACCCATCTTAAAAGGGTCTATAAAACATTCATGCAACCATGACAAATGTTTAAACCACTTCAATTTTAAAATAAAGTAGCAAAAAGTGTTTCGAGCAAACTGTTGTTCGTACAGTATAACCACAGTGGTTTGTCCCATAGCATAATCGTCATAATCTTTGGTGGCATATACCTGAATACCTCAATAACAGAACAAAAGAAGAACATACATATCATGAAGTTATTGATCATAAAAGTATTGAGATGATGAGCCCCTCACAAGTAGTGCTAGATACCCCATCTATGGAACAACATTTTAAAATATTAGATTTCTGAGAGGATGAAGGGGCTCTACATGTTCAGGGGAGTCAAGAGATAATGAAATCAGCAAAACTTTAAAGTCAACATGAAATAGAGTTTGCACTTCGCACCTGATGCATTTATGAATAAAACAGGATATATACTGTACAGCAGGACCTAATTTAACGCATTGAAAACTGATTTGTTTAAATACCTACAGGGATTTGTGATATCAGCTGACTTTTTAATCTTGATCAAATATGCAATGCCTACTTATAAGTGCAGATAGCCAACCTTGTTGACAAAGGCTACTTTCACAAACTCCGTCCACCATTGCTCAGATATTTTATCTTTAGTACAAATAGTATATTAATCCTATTTACACTTTGTGTAAAGAGCATCTATCACTCTTTGCACTTGCTATTGGTTGCTTTGTGGAAACAGTATTCTACCCGTTTTTACACATTTTTTATTTTACAGTATGTGGAACAAGCACTGAAGAATAATGCACAGTAAGATCGAAAAAGTATGTAAAGAAAGTAAATGGGTTCAATTTTGATTTCATGTTGACTTTGGGCAAAAGAATAAAAGATTTCACTGAAATATATTGATTGATGTCAATATTGAAGATTTGATCTGATGCTTCACGTACTAAACAAACATCCCAAAATGGGCCAACGACAAACATCATCAAATCGTCCCCGGTCTTCATCCATATCTGGCATCTTTTAATTGTGTCCATATCACTATTTAGTGTAAAGCATGCTGTTGCAAATATCACCTGATGAATTTACCTTTACTCTTACACTCCGGTTCTATAAAAGTGACCATGTATATAAAACAGAGCTTTTTTCGCTTGAGAAGCCCTTATTTTTGAGGATGTTTTATAAAAAATGTCATCACAGTAGAGTGGTGAGAAAACGAAGGATAAGAACAGGTGGTTGTGAGGTGGCTGTTCCGCTCACAGTTTCTGCGTGAAGTTTTCAGGGAAGACTCCTTTTACTAGGAGGTTTTTATTCTCAAGCCAGTGTGTCTCTTTTACGCCCACTAACCAGCCATCATCCTGTGCACACAAGCAAAAAGACAAGACAATGAGTCATTGTCCCATTGTATGCGAGTGTGTTTGAGCATGTGTGCCATCGTGACTGACCTGTTCATCTGGGTTGGCAAAGGGAAGCACAAGCACAATATCACCAGCCTTCAGGTCAAGTTCATCACTGTCTGTTGCTCCGTAGTCATGCATTGCTTTCACCTACCAAGAATTAAAAAAAAAGAGTAATTTAAAGACTTTTACGTGTTATACAAATAAATGCTGTTCTTTTGAACTTTCTATTAATTAAAGAATCTTGTTTTCAACTTTCATAATAAGAAATGTTTCTTGAGCATCAAATCAGCATAATAGATTGATTTCTGAAGCATCGTGTGACATTGAAGACTGGAGTAATGATGCTGAAAATTAAGCTTTGCATCACAGGAATAAAATTACATTTTAATACTTTTTCACAATATTACTGTATTACTATTGAGACTTCAATATTATCTGGCTTCTTGGGTTCCCAATTCAACGTACCTTATAAAGAACAGACGGAGGAAGCTCTGCATCTGATGAGCCATTTGTCACTGTTGGAGCTTCATTCTAAATACAAAAATGAAATGATAATAAAATAAAAAGTAACCATACCTGAGCAACAGAGAATAAAACAAACATGATATATACACAGAAAAACACATATAGGGAAAACCGAACATTCAACATGAACACGGTGGAAAATAGCCACACACCCACAGAACAACATTATTTACTTCTGGGCCATCCTAACACTACACCAATACTTCACAATTACTCAAGACTCTTGCTCTTACACTTTGAAGCTCCTCCCACTGAGGCAGCTTTGACTCCTCCTCCCAAGCCTGAGCCGTACCACTGCCCCAGTTTATATCTGCGTCCTGCTCTTGCCCTACCTGGGACCCTTCCTCGCCCCAGCACTCCACACCCCTGTCCTCCCAGTCTCCAGCCTCTGCAGTCGCAGCAGTCTCACTGACCCAGCCTGACTGCGCAGACACACTGTCCTGCTCATGCCAGCTGGGGGGTTCATTCGGCTCTACGGCAGGAGTGACCTCATCATCCCACGGAGAGGCTTCATTCGTCTGAGCGCCAGCTTTATCATCGGAGTCCTGAGAGGGGTCTGCAGCGGGGGTCTGACCAGGCTGGGATGGGGAGGAAGGGTCAGCCAGGATTGTTTTTTTTTTGGATTTGGGACAGATTGTTTGGATTTTGGGTCAAATAGATGCCATGGGAGAAAAGGGCAGGCAATAGGGCAAAAGGCAAAGATAGATATGAAGAAAAAGATAGATAAGAAACGTGAATTACTGTTCACTCTGTCCCAACATGATCTGAAGTCAAGTTAATTGTTGATTTCCCTTTATACCCTTAAATAACAGACTAATTTGTAATAATTATAATTTGATCAATAACAAGTTGTCCCCTAATTACTAATTCAAATCAATTACAGTACTGTTTTAATTATTCAGTTGAATTATTTATTTAAGTCTGTCTATCTATCTATCTATCTATCTATCTATCTATCTATCTATCTATCTATCTATCTATCTATCTATCTATCTATCTATCTATCTATCTATCTATCTATCTATCTATCTATCTATCTATCTATCTGTCTATCTATCTATCCGTCTGTCTGTCTGTCTGTCTGTCTATCTAACTGTCTAGCTGTCTGTCTATCTGTTTGTCTATCTAACTGTCTATCTGTCTGTCTGTCTGTCTGTCTGTCTGTCTATCTATCTATCTATCTATCTATCTATCTATCTATCTATCTATCTATCTATCTATTTTGTTTTGTCAACAATAACCCCTGATATACATTATTTACAATGATTTACATTTACAGTATAAACCTTGTAAGTCCAAATACATGGTATAAATGTATAAGATATATAAACAAGATAGATAAACAAGATATATACATGGTATAAAGAGAGGAAAGTCCAAATACATGGTAGAAACATGAGTGGCAATCTCTTATAAAATAACAAGGTTTAATTTTTGATAAATGTCTGTGTGGTTTTGTTTGTAATTTGTCGATCCAAAGATCGTAGAAGACTTTCATCCAAAAGCACCAATAAATGGTTCTTTCATGCTCAATCACGCCACAAGAATCACAAAGAGTATGTCGAGAGAGAACTGATCCATTACAAGTGTCTTACCTCCCATAAACTCCACGAAGCCCCCTTCCATGAGGAAGCACAGAATGAAAGAGTGAGATAAATGAGGCCCATAATAAGAGTGCAAGGTACGTTCATTACCTTGTCAACAGTAAGAAGAGAGCTCTCATCAACCCCACTTATGCTTATAATAAACAGTGTTCAGAGCTAATGCAGTCAATATGAGAGGAAAGCATTTGTCAAAGGTGAAGTGATCTAATAGTGAACCCTGGAAAACCATGTACAAGAGTAAGAAGAAAAGAAATATACAGTAATCCTCGCAATGACTGGGCCCAGACAGAATCTATAGACTATAGAAGTTTTTTTAAGGTAAGATTTTTTATTTTTTGAAAAAAGTATTTTATGCTCACAAGGCTGCATTTATTTGATCAAAAATACAATGAAAGCAGTAATATTGTGAAGTATTTTTACTATTAAAAATAACTGTTTTCTTGTTTTTTCCCCTGGGTCTTGTTATGGAAACTAGCAGTAAAGCGAGTTAACATGCATTACATGCATGGAGTAAATACGTCACATGCTGAACCAAAGTGGCATTTCAGTTCCCTGACACTCAAATGGACTAAAGAGACTATATCAAAGATCAAAGATTAAAAAATACACACTCATATACATTAAAATTGGATTTAGACATAAGCACTTCCTCTTTGAAGTGCTTTCAACTTCGTCAAGTGGGCGAGATAAGTTTATTTGGACAGACCTACTCAATAAGTACACTTCAGGCAGATTCATAGACCACAATGCAACAGTACTGTGACGTCCCAGCAGATCGTGCTTAATTTACCCCCACCCCACGCAACTGTAGTGTATGATATTGGAGTTATTTTGACATTAAACAGCATTATACTTATAGCTACCTTAAGCTGACTGTTTCTTAAACATCATTTTTGTTTGTGTACTTTTTTATATTTTCTCCAACAGCCCAAACATACATCCGGGCTTACAGAATGCTGTGTAAAACAAATTCATAAGGAAATAAACTGTAAATAATAAATCAGCTCCCTCCATTGCTGATGGACACTTTATCCCACGAGGCCACAGGAGAGTATTTATGAGTGACAGTGATGCGACACAACTTGCGCTGATAGGTCAAATGATAATGACAGCATGGCGAATGTAGTATATCCGGATTACATTCATATTACACACACATTCATACTATATAGAACATACTTTTTTTAGCGGTCAAAAAGTACTTATTCAAAATAAGTACCTACTCAAGAGAGTATGCGATTTCGAACACTGCCTGAAACGCAGCGATAGATGGCATGGTTTTCCTGGCCCCTAAACCCTGACCTTTACCCTTCGCCATCCTGACCTCTCCTGTCATTTGACACCCACCTGGTGTACTAGAGCAGCGTTGAGTGCTTTCAAAGCATCCAGATCTAAATCCAGCAGCCTACATATAACTGGACAATTACACTGTTGTGTACAGTACAAAACACCACCTTTACTAGGACAGTTACAATATTTAGTGGAATCATTGGTTTGCAGAAAGAAATTATGGTAAAGTTCTCAAACTCGAGAGCTAGTGAAACTTAAGTAGAATGAGCAGAAAGAGAGATAATAACATGGTGGAAACAGTCACTTTTAGGGTAGAAATGGATGACTGTGCTCATTAAGAATGGAGATATATTATAAATTAAAACATGTGAAAAGGAAGAGATTGGAGTGAGTGCTTAGATGAGCAGGGAAGGGAGTCATTTGACCTCTGACCTGTGGCTGGGTCGAAATGTTAATGTCAGGCACCACTGCATCCTCAAACAGGTTAATGATGTTTTCCTCTTTCACCTCCTGAGGCGAAGCAGGCCTTGGGGGCTGTGAGACCGGCGGTCCCTCTCTGGACTGCCACACCGAAACACACATGCAAATAATGAGGAAAACACACTCTGTGGTTAAGTTAAAACACCAAATCAGCACTGTTCATGATTAGACTTTTTCTGTGTAACATGCTTTTAGTTTGCTTACACACACACACACACACACACACAGTCATGTTTACCTAATCATCTACATGAAGACATACCACAGACTTCTATTGTAAGGCAGTGCCTATAGTTAACTAAATCTTTAATTGCTATAAATAGTTTATTGCTAACAGGTTTTAGCATGATTTAACACATTGTTAGCATTTTTAACATGTTGCTAGCATGATTTAGCTGTCAATAATGATATACACCCCGTTTTTATAGCATCAAATAACTAAACCCAAACTAATTGGAAAAACTAACACTTGAACATAGGTCTGCTCAATCAGAACTACATAAGATAACAGAAACCATCTTTGGAAAAAAATTATTGAAGTGTAATTGGATAGGGCGGGTTTATGACCTATACTGCAGCCATCCACCAGGAGGCGATCGAAATGCTTTGGCTTCACTTTTCAGGATGTGTGTAGCACACTTGGTTTTAACTTCTTATACTGTCTATGGTTTTAACATGTTGCTAGCATGTTTCTAACATGAATAACCACATTTCTGGCATGTTTTAACATGTAGCTAGCCTGATTTAACACGTTGTTAGCATGTTTCTAACATGAATAACCACATTTCTGGCATGTTTTAACATGTAGCTAGCCTGATTTAACACGTTGTTAGCATGTTTCTACCATGAATTAGCACATTGCTAGCAAGTTTTAACATGTTGTTAGCATGAATTAGCATGTTGCAAGCATAAATTAGCACGTTGCTGACCCTTGTTTGGTGGCTCTAGCTTGAAAGCCCTAGGAGGAGTTAGAAATGTTTGCCTCAGAAGAAGAATAAGTTTAAATAGCATTTCAGTGTGTTGGCTTTCTTTTGCTGACATAAATAAAGGGTCTGGATTTATTTTTCTGCATCTTTAGTTGTATACATAGCCAACGGTAAGACACACTCCGTAGCATAGGCAATGTGACATAATAGACAGAAAATAAAAACATCAGCATTCTCACATACACAGTACCTTTTGTGGTGATTTAGGGGCGTCTGACCCAGAATCTGAGGGACTGTGGTTGGCTGCTTCTTCGCTGCTTGAGAAACACACATTGGTAAATAAATACTACATAGGGCCTGCCGATCGTGTAATGACTGATACATCACTAGAGGGCAGCACAGATCAGTGTTAATACAGCAGACAGATTGGTTTAAATCACTACCATGCACAATTACTGCATTTCAAAGACATTCCAGTCATGCAGTTATTTTTCGTGTCAGCATCTACACATGGTCCCATGCACACTCAAAACATTTGCAGTAAGTTTCCAGAGCAACCAAGTGTTAGTATGCCTTTAATGCAATAAATTTTGGCATATACAAACACACACAAAACATGAGAGCTATTACCTCTTCCCAATGCTTGCTGTCTTGACACCTTTTCTGTGGGTTGATTGGGGGAAGGGTTGGTTTAATTTACAGGGAAAACAAGGACTCACACATCTGTGTGCTAAACTACAGGAAACCAGAAGTGTCTATACAGACAGGAAATATCGCAAGATATAAGCACTCACTTGGCTAGACGCTGCTCATCCAGTTTGGTCATAACATCACTTAGATTCTGGTTCAGCTGTGTGCGAGAGAATGCGACATACCCTGGTAACTAACAACAATAATCTAATTTATCTCTTTGTTAATAAGTCTCTTATTATTGGCTCACTTTGCCCATCTCCCTGTGAAATTTTTCCTCCAGGCCGGCTACACTCTGGAATGTGTTAACATAGATGCCAACACGACTGCAGAGAGAGAGAGATAGAGACAAAGAGACAGAGAGGAGTCAACATTAGTTCATTTAAAAGAAAAAACTTCACCAAACACAAAAAAACAACACCAAATAATTATATTCTGCCATCATATTACTTGCCATCATGTTATTCCAATCATGCTACATTTTTTTTCTATGGAACACAAAAGAAGGATAATTGCAGTTTTTTATGACCTCTCAAGCTCAAAAAAGACAAATAACAACATAAATGTATCATACAAAATAGGACTTGCGTGCTTTAAAATTTATCCAAAGTAACAGTTTAGACATTTACAATGTTACAAAAGATTTCTACTTCAAATAAATGCTGTTCTTTTGAACTTTCCTTTTTATCAAAGAATACTGAAACAATAATAGTATCACTGTTTCCACAAAAATATGAAGCAGACCAACTGTTCTCAACATTGATAATAATAAAAAATGTTGTTTCATAACTGAGCATAGTGACACTATCATGTGACACTGAAGACTAGAGTAATGATGCTGAAAATCCAGCTTTGTCATCACAGGAATAAATTACATTTTTAAATATATTCAAATAGAAAACAGTTACTTTAATTGGTAATAATATTTCATGATATTACTGTTTTTACTGTATGTTTTAAAAGCAGCCTTGGTGAGCACAAGAGACTCCATGGGCCTCGTTTACACTGCAGGTCTTGATGCCCAATTCTGATTTGTTGCCTATATCCGATTTTTTTTACCGTCCGTTTACACGTTCTTTAAATTGTGACCCATATCCGAGTCATGTGTTTACACTTGACTGAAACATCGCGCATGTTTAAAGGGGTCTTCTTGCTCAGATGGACGAAGCGCAGCGAGATCTCAGGACAGGTGGGAACATACAACACGATCTCATAAAAGTGAGTAGCCCATCTATAGCACAAATTTGATTTCTCATGCCATTTATAGCCTACGCCAAAAATAGTTTTTGCTTGCATATGATACGCACTGTAAACGTAAGTATTAAACGCCATAAAGCTATATTTTTGGCGTAAATGCCACGTGAAAAAAAAATCGTGCAATAAACGCACTTTCATGAGATCGTGGCGGGCTTTAACGAGGCGCAGTGGGTCCGAAATTTTAGGATGAGCAAGCCAACCTTTGATATGTTGTGTCAACGTGTGTCCACATTCCTCTCCTACGACGACACAATGTTTCGTCGGGCCATCCGTCCATCCGCAGATGCGCGTCTGGGTTTCTCTCGTCATTAACCCTCATGTGGTGTTCAAAACCCTATAACACCTGTAGTGTTCCCGGTCAAAAATGACCGGGCCATAAAAAAAACCTTATAAATCACTCATTATACCATATTTTCACCCAATCTTGGATTCAATCTTTTTGTCAACATGTTCTCTTTCAATTAGGACTGGTTTTATGTTTTGATTTGCATCTGAATAATCATAGGCCTCATTTATTTGAGAGTAGGCATTTAATTTTTTGAGTAATTTTTTTAAAAAAAATTGAATAATTTTGGAAATATTAAATAAAATCTGAAGAAAATTGGTACTGTTGATCACACTAGTCAACTTAACATTTTCACCAGGAATTTTGTTTTGATACTTTTGTTTTGTAAAAAATATGGCACATAGTCACACTTGTGGTGTTCCCGGTCAAAAATGACCGGCCTATAAAAAATAGCTTATAAGTCACTCATTATACCATATTTTCACCCAATCTTGGATTCAATCTTTTTGTCAACTTGTTCTCTTTCAATTAGGACTGGTTTTATATTTCTGTTTGCATCTGATTAATCGGGGGCCTCATTTGTCTGAGAGTAGGCATCTCATTTTTTGAGTAAAAAACAAATAATTTATGAGTAAATTTGGAAATATGAAAAAAAAAAATGAAAAAAATGGCTACTGTTGATCACACTAGTCTACTCTAATGTTTCACCAGGAATTTTGTTTTGAAACTTTTGTTTTGTAAAAAATATGGCTCATAGTCACACTTGTGGTGTTCCCGGTCAAAAATGACCGGCCTATAAAAAATAGCTTATAAGTCACTCATTATACCATATTTTCACCCAATCTTGGATTCAATCTTTTTGTCAACTTGTTCTCTTTCAATTAGGACTGGTTTTATATTTCTGTTTGCATCTGATTAATCGGGGGCCTCATTTGTCTGAGAGTAGGCATCTCATTTTTTGAGTAAAAAACAAATAATTTATGAGTAAATTTGGAAATATGAAAAAAAAAAAAAAAAAAAATGGCTACTGTTGATCACACTAGTCTACTCTAATGTTTCACCAGGAATTTTGTTTTGAAACTTTTGTTTTGTAAAAAATATGGCTCATAGTCACACTTGTGGTGTTCCCGGTCAAAAATGACCGGCCTATAAAAAATAGCTTATAAGTCACTCATTATACCTTATTTTCACCCAATCTTGGATTCAATCTTTTTGTCAACTTGTTCTCTTTCAATTAGGACTGGTTTTATATTTCTGTTTGCATCTGATTAATCGTGGGCCTCATTTATCTGAGAGTAGGCATGGTCAAAAATGGTCACAATGGCCGACCATTGAAAGTGAATGGGAGAGACTGAAAATAACAGAACAATTTAGTTTTCAGGAGCATGTTCATTATTTTCATGTACACATATGAGCATGTGTGCTTGCAAACATCGAGCCCTTGGACCTGTGCATGTATCGATACATTTATACACACGCTATCCAGACACACACACGTTAAAACACAAACTTTTTTAAATATTACACACATTCTTTTCCACAGAGAGAAATTTGATCCTACCCTAACCTGCATCTAATATACATTTATCCATCTGACATTACCACACACACACACACACAGGCCGTGATCAGATTTTTGACTCAGAAACTAGTGAGGAGGAGGAAATTCAGGATGCATCTTGCAGTGAAGATGTTTCTGAAGAGGAAGGCACCACTGAATCGGCTACGGAGCTTGAAACAACTGATGAGGAGCAGTCTTCCAGTGATGAGGGCCCAGCTGAGGTTACCGTTTCATTCTGGTCAAAAGATGGAACTTTGTCCTGGCCTTCATCCCCACCTATGAGGCAAGGCAGGTTTTCTTCTGAAGGCCTTCCTCTTCAGAAACATCTTCACTGCAAGATGCATCCTGCATTTCCTCCTCCTCACTAGTTTCTGAGTAAAAAATCTGATGAATAACATCATGTGCAGAGCTGTTTTGCCATTGTGCTGCCACAAATGAATGACAAGCAAGGTGCTGTGAGGCATTTTATATATGCCTGTGCTATCACATGATGTATATTTGTAAATATTGTCTAGTTCTGTGTGAGAACCTCACAGTTCCAAAACAAAATGTCATAATATTTTGTCTGGAAGCTGTGATGAAACAAGACCATGAAAGAAAGATTCTTTTGAAGCCGGGTCACTGCAGTCACGGCCAGTTTGTGTGTGTGTGTGTGCGTGTGTGTGCGTGTGTGTGTGTGTGTGTGTGTGTGGTAATGTCAGATGGATAAATGTATATTAGATGCAGGTTAGGGTAGAATCAAATTTCTCTCTGTGGAAAAGAATGTGTGTAATACTCAAAAAAGTTTGTGTGTTTTAACGTGTGTGTCTGGGTAGCGTGTGTATAAATGTATCGATACATGCACAGGTCCAAAGGCTCGATGTTTGCAAGCACACATGCTCATATGTGTACATGAAAATAATGAACATGCTCCTGAAAACTAAATTGTTCTGTTATTTTCAGTCTCTCCCATTCACTTTCAATGGTCGGCCATTGTGACCATTTTTGACCATGCCTACTCTCAGATAAATGAGGCCCACGATTAATCAGATGCAAACAGAAATATAAAACCAGTCCTAATTGAAAGAGAACAAGTTGACAAAAAGATTGAATCCAAGATTGGGTGAAAATATGGTATTATAAGTGATTTATAAGCTATTTTTTATAGGCCGGTCATTTTTGACCGGGAACATCTCAAGTGTGACTATGTGCCATATTTTTTACAAAACAAAAGTTTCAAAACAAAATTCCCGGTGAAACATTAGAGTAGACTAGTGTGATTAACAGTAGCCATTTTTTTTCATATTTTTTTTCATATTTCCAAATTTACTCATAAATTATTTGTTTTTTACTAAAAAAATTAGATGCTCACTCTCAGATAAATGAGGCCCACGATTAATCAGATGCAAACAGAAATATAAAACCAGTCCTAATTGAAAGAGAACAAGTTGACAAAAAGATTGAATCCAAGATTGGGTGAAAATATGGTATAATGAGTGATTTATAAGCTATTTTTTATAGGCCGGTCATTTTTGACCGGGAACACCACAAGTGTGACTATGTGCCATATTTTTTACAAAACAAAAGTTTCAAAACAAAATTCCTGGTGAAACATTAGAGTAGACTAGTGTGATCAACAGTAGCCATTTTTTTCATTTTTTTTTTTCATATTTCCAAATTTACTCATAAATTATTTGTTGTTTACTCAAAAAATGAGATGCCTACTTTCAGATAAATGAGGCCCCCGATTAATCAGATGCAAACAGAAATATAAAACCAGTCCTAATTGAAAGAGAACAAGTTCACAAAAAGATTGAATCCAAGATTGGGTGAAAATATGGTATAATGAGTGACTTATAAGCTATTTTCTATAGGCCGGTCATTTTTGACCGGGAACACCACAAGTGTAACAATGTAACAAAACTCCCACAAAAAAATAAGAAAATTTTCAAAAAAACCCTGAGATTTAGTTAAACCGTTTGGGAACAAAGTCACTAAGTTTCAGTCCAAAGCGATAACATTAACTAGTATTTTCGGGAAAAAGAAAATCTTCTCCGGGTCAAATTGACCCGAACACCACATGAGGGTTAAACCGCGGAGACGCAGCCTAATGCCTCGGAAAATCCGATCTGCCTGTTTACATGACAGTCGCATTGGCACATATCCGATTTACATCTGATTTATTTCCACATATGAACGAGGCCTGAAACCGATCTCGAAATATCCGAATGCATGCGTTTTTTTCCTGTTTACACTGTCATAGAACACATCCGATCTGTGTCGCATACGAGTAAAAAATCGGAATTGGGTCACATTTCACTGACAGTGTAAACGAGGCCCATGTGAAGATCCTAAAAAAAACCTTTTTGTGTTTCACAGAAGAAAAAAACAACAGCACACCGGTTTGGAACGACATGGTGGTTGTTCATTTTTAGGTGAACTGTTAGGAGAAGAAATAAAAGAGATAAACTGAGAGATGGCAGGATGAATAGGTGGTTATTACCTGTTCCACAGGGTGGGAAGTTCCTCCTGGAGATCATAATTAATCTCCTCAAATACCTTCTGAGCTCTCCCCAACTCTTCCTCAGCCTAAACACACACACACACACACACACATTAGGCTAAAGACACTATAATTTATGAAAATGTGTATACAAAGAATTATGCATTCATCACTGCATGAATGGACTGTGGACAAATAGATCCTGTGATCTGATCCCTTTAACTGAAATCTGCAGAAAGCATTTAAAACAAACATTTACTCACCATCATATAATTACGAACTGAATTCATTTCTTTTGTTTAACACAAAAAGAAAAACTTTGAACAATGTTTTGTAGCATTTTTTCATACAATGAAAACGAATCGGTTACCTAACGTAACCTCGGTTCTCTCTAGAAGAGGGAACGAGTATTGCGTAAGCTAGCTTACGCTGCGGGAAAGATTCATCTTTGCTGAGATATTGAAGCCAAAAAATTATTTCATAATTTTGTATCCATACACAACGCAGTTCCTCTGCGGCAGACCTAGAGCGGGCTAGCTAGCAGCTCATTGGTTCGCTCAGAGAGAACTGCTTAAGCCTATGGGAGAGCGGGGCTGAACCCGCTTCCAATGAGAGGCGCCCGCGCGCTCATTGCGTCATGACCCGCCAGAATGGGCGTGGCCATGGTGTATATAAGGAGCTCTCCCAGGCTTATATGTTGATTTATTTCAGCGTGAAGCGAAACGCTAGTAGCGCAAGCACGGCCGGGAACGCAATACTCGTTCCCTCTTCTAGAGAGAACCGAGGTTACGTTAGGTAACCGATTCGTTCTCTTACGAGAGGTTCTCTCGTATTGCGTAAGCTAGCTTACGCTGCGGGAACACCTGGCCAACGCCGTGCGCGCTACGAATCCACTCATGAAAAACCCAGGGATATACCGGGGGAATTTTTTTAACGTGGAGTGAATGTACAAAGAGGCCGCAGAGCGGGCTCATGAAGTGTACACATAAGCATGTATGGGGCCAGCAGAGCGGGCACATGAAGTGTATAAGCATTACAGGAGAGCACAAGGGGCGAACCGGTTGTGAGGGACCTCCAGAAATGCAGCTTCTTAGAGAGCTGTTCGTCAGACAGCTAGTAATTTTGCCTGCAAGGCGGGAACTTCCAAGTTATAAAACCTGACAAAAGTGGACGGGGAGGCCCATCCCGCGGCCACACAAATGTCATGAACGGAAATTCCACAGGACCATGCCCACGATGAGGCCATGCCTCTAGTGGAGTGCGCCCTGATGCCCAGAGGGCAGGGCAGGCATTTAGATGCGTAAGCAGAGGCGATAGCGTCCACTATCCATCTAGACAGTGTCTGTTTTGAGGCGGCCAGACCCTTGGTGCGCCCCCCAAACGACACGAAAAGCTGCTCAGCGCGTCTGAACGCGGCAGCGCGCGTAGTGTACAATCTCAGAGCCCGCACCGGACAAAGGAGATTGGCATCGCGCTCACTATCGGATGAAGGCAGAGCCGATAGGGAGATAATCTGAGCCCTGAACGGGGTACCAATCGCCTTCGGGACATAGCCATGCCTAGGTTTGAGAATGACAATCGAATCATTCGGTCCAAACTCAAGACACGCGGCGCTGGATGAGAGCGCGTGAAGATCCCCAACGCGTTTAACTGAGGACAGAGCCGTCAGGAAAACGGTTTTGAGCGAGAGGTATTTCAGATCCACAGACTCGAGCGGTTCGAACGGGGGTGCTTTCATAGCTTCAAGGACTATAGAAAGATCCCAAACCGGAACCGACGGGGGCCGCGGAGGGTTCATCCTCTTAGCTCCCCTGAGGAAGCGGATGACTAACTCGTCTTTGCCCAATGACTGAGCGCGTCGGGGTTCCGCGAACGCCGCGACGGCTGCCACATAAACCTTGAGAGTGGAGGGGGACCTGCCCTTGTCCAGCATCTCTTGAAGGAAAACAAGCAAAGACGGCACCTCGCACGACCGTGGGTCCAGCTGTTTGTCGGTGCACCATTTTGAGAACACAGACCATTTAGACGCGTAGAGCCTTCTCGTGGAAGGTGCTCTAGCCTGTATGATAGTGTTTCTTACTCCCTCTGGCAAATCAACGAATAGTCGTTGATCACCCATGCATGTAGCGCCCAGCGCTGTGGATGGGGGTGCCAGATCGTGCCGCGAGCTTGAGAGAGGAGATCTGCTCTGACTGGGATGGGCCACGGGGCTGTCTGTGACAGCTGCGTGAGCTCCGGAACCCAATTCTGACTCTCCCAACGCGGGGCTATGAGGAGCACCGAGTGGCGTGTGTCCCTGATCCTCTGAATTACCTGTGGTAACAGAGCGATCGGAGGGAATGCATAGAGCGGGCGGCGAGGCCATTCCTGGGCTAGCGCGTCCTCGCTCTTCGAGAAATATATTGGGCAGTGAGCGTTCTCTTCTGACGCGAAGAGGTCTACTTCTGCTCTGCCGAATAGTCGCCACAGTAACTGGACCGTCTGTGAGTTCAGGGACCATTCTCCTGTGGAGATGAGGTTCCTGGACAGTATGTCTGGACAGTATGTCTGGACCGTCGTTCAGATGGCCCGGCACGTGCGTCGCTCTGAGCGAGAGCAGGCGGCTCTGAGACCAAACTAGAATGCGGTGCGTCAGTAGACAGAGATTTCTGGATCTGACACCGCCCTGACGGTTGAGATAGGAGACCACGGCCATATTGTCCGAACGGATCAGGACGTGGTGTCCCTGGATGCGCGGGAGAAAGTGCGAGAGCGCGTTCTCGACCGCCAGCATTTCCAGACAGTTTATGTGTAATGGGCTTTCCTGAATCGACCAGTGGCCGAAGGCCGGTGAGCCCTCGCAGACTGCACCCCAACCCGTGTTGGATGCATCTGTCGAGATGACTTTTCGGCAGGAAAAGGTCCCCATCGTGACGCCTAGACGAAACCATTCTGCTACTGTCCATGGCTGCAGCGCCGTGAGACACGTTTGCGTAACCCTGATCAGCTGGCGGCCCGTGTTCCACGCGCGGTGGGGTACACGGCTGTTCAACCAGAACTGAAGCGGGCGCATGTGCAGAAGGCCCAGCTGAAGTACAGCGGAGGCTGAGGCCATGTAACCCAGCATCCTCTGAAAAGTTTTCAGAGGCCTGCGGGTGCCCATCTGGAACGAGGCGGCTAGACGCTGAACACTGCGCGCGCGCTGTGTAGACAGGCGAGCCGTCATCGTGACCGAGTCCAAATCTATTCCTAGGAAGGAAATCGATTGACTGGGATGAAGGGAGCTCTTTGTCCAGTTGACAGAGAGGCCCAGCGTTTCCAAATGGTCGAGGAGAACTGCGCGGTGCGACAGAAGCTCCGTCTGTGATTGGGCCAAAATCAGCCAGTCGTCCAGATAATTCAGAATGCGCAGCCCCTGGCTTCGCAGGGGGGCGAGCGCCGTATCCATGCACTTCGTGAATGTACGGGGCGCCAGAGATAAGCCGAACGGGAGAACGGCGTATTGATAAACAAGACCCTCGAAGGCGAAACGTAAGAATGGCCTGTGACGGGGATTTATCTGGATCTGAAAATAGGCGTCTTTCAGGTCTAGAGATATGAACCAGTCCCCCTGGCGCACCTGCGCGAGGAGTTTCCTGGTAGTGAGCATCTTGAACGGTCTCTTCATGAGCGCTTTGTTCAAAGACCTGAGATCTAAGATCGGTCTGAGGCCGCCGTCTTTCTTGGGAACCAGAAAATAACGGCCGTAAAACCCCGACTCGGTCATAGATGGCGGGACTCTCTCTATCGCGCCCTTTTGCAACAGCGTCGCAATTTCTGAGCGGAGCGTGCCGGCGGCCAGCGGGCTGACAGAAGATTCGAGCTGCGCGCGCGCACGAGGCGGGCGGCGGCGAAACTGTAGCAGGTAGCCGTTCTTTATAATGCTTAACACCCACGGGGAAATGCCTGGAATGGCTTCCCACGCTTTGGAGCATGCGGCTAGTGGCCGAATGGCTGTATTGCCCTGATTGCTGCACATAGCGGGCTGGACACAGTGTGTGGGCGCGCTTTGAATGTGTGTGGCAACGGGATTTGCACTCAGAGAGGAGTCTATGGGCCGTGACACAGAGCGAGCAGAGAGGGGACACGTGCACGAGCTCGTGGGCGTGTTTATGTTCTCTGATATTAGAGCGGGCTGTGCCCGTTTCATGTGATGGGGCTCTGATAGAGACACGGGATATGTTATGCTTGTGTGTATGGGTGAACACATGATTGTGGGCACATTTTCTACACAACTGGCAAAATTTCTCTTTTTGAGATTTCTCTGGGTAGCCGTAAAAACGGCTTTTTGTCGCTCGCAAGCGGGCTGGGACACCGGCTTGTTTGTGGCGGTCAACACTACAGCAGTCGGCGAAATAACGGGGACTGGCAGAGGGCGAAGCTTTGACGGCGGTCCGGCCGCAGCGGGAGAGCACCGTCGTTTTCTTGACATTGTTAGGCAGACTTCTGATGATCAGGCTTCAGCGTGATCTTAGGTCGCGGGCCACGGGGGGGCGGCGGTCTGCGGCGGCTGTCAGAGCGAGAGCGAGGGCGAGGGCGGCCGCTCTGACTGCGCTGAGCTGTTTGAGTCTGCGGAGGGGGGCGCTGTGATGGGGCTCTGGCGGAGGGCTCGTGAGAGCGGCCCGCTGAAGAGCTAGCGCGGCGGGGTAGAAACAAGTTCATCGCCTGAGTAGCTTTCTGTACTTCAGAAAAGCGATCGACGATTCCCGTGACGGCAGATCCAAACAGGCCCGTCGGGGAGAGGGGCGCGTTGAGAAACGCGGCGCGCTCAGAATCTCCCATGTCGGCGAGCGTGAGCCATAAGTGTCTCTCAGCAACACAAAGGCTGGCCATGCATTTCCCCAGAGCTTGTGCGGCGGCTTTAGTGGCGCGAAGGGCGAGATCCGTAGCACTTCTCAAATCCGTGACGGCGGGGGGGGTTTTTCTACCGCCTTCGGCCCATTCACGGAGAATATCGCTCTGTAACACTTGGAGGACAGACATAGAGTGAAGCGCAGCGGCGGCCTGACCGGCGGCGGCGTAAGCGCGAGCATGAAAGCTCGAGGTCGCTCTGCAAGCTTTCGAAGGAAGCGTGGGTGAAGAACGCCATCTAGCGGAGGGCGGGCAGAGGTGCGTGGCGACCAAGTCCTCGACGGGCGGCATGGCTGCATAGCCTTTCTCGGCGGCTCCGTCCACCGAGCGCAGCGAGGCGGATATATCGGAGCGATTTCTAGCCGAGAGCGGTGCATTCCAGGATTTTGTCAGCTCTGCGTGAAGTTCAGGCAGGAATGGAGCGGCCCGGGTGCACGCGGGGGTCGAGCGCCGATGAAAAAAGCTACCGTCCATTCGGTTCGGGGCCTGCTCGGGTGGAGGAGACCACTCGAGACCGAGGCGTTCGACGGCCTGTGAGAGGAGGCGCATCAGCTCCTCTTCTATCCCGGCGCGGGTCCCCGTCGACTCTCTCGCGGATCCGAGAGATGACCAGTCTTCACTGTCAGAAGCGAGCAGTGAACAGGAGTCCTTCTCCTCCGCGGCGTCATCGGAAACAACAGAGCGGCCACTCGGCGGCAACTGAATGTCCGGCAGGGGCGGGGAGGGAGAGCGGGAAGCGGGAGGCGGCGGCGGCGGCCCGCATGTTTCCGCTGGGGGCTCCGGCGGCCTTTGAGAGCGGCGTTTCTTTTAACGCGGCGAGAGAATAGGCGGCGCGGGAGCGGTTTTCACTGCCAGAAGTCGTGCCCGCAGGGACGATAACGGCAGGCTTTCACAGAAGTCGCATCCTCCATCAGCGAGGGCGAGTTCTGCATGCTCGAGTCCCAAGCAGAGAGCGCAGATGACATGGCGGTCTCCGTCCTCGAGACGAGCGCGGCAAGAGCCGCAGGAAAAACGAGACATCTTTAAAAAGACGCTCGGCTCTTTTAGATATAGAGAAAAGGATACAAATCGTCGGATGGCCTAGCTTGCAGGGCGGCTGAAGGTGGCGAAGACGGCCGGCTTCTTCAGGGTCCTTGAGCTCGCTAGAGGATGCCTTCTTCGACGGCGATGGCTTTTCTCAGGAACAGCAGAAGCGTGCAGCTTGCTGAAGATGAAATGAATCAACATATAAGCCTGGGAGAGCTCCTTATATACACCATGGCCACGCCCATTCTGGCGGGTCATGACGCAATGAGCGCGCGGGCGCCTCTCATTGGAAGCGGGTTCAGCCCCGCTCTCCCATAGGCTTAAGCAGTTCTCTCTGAGCGAACCAATGAGCTGCTAGCTAGCCCGCTCTAGGTCTGCCGCAGAGGAACTGCGTTGTGTATGGATACAAAATTATGAAATAATTTTTTGGCTTCAATATCTCAGCAAAGATGAATCTTTCCCGCAGCGTAAGCTAGCTTACGCAATACGAGAGAACCTCTCGTAAGAGAACATATAGTTACCAGGGTCTATCAAGCTCCAAAAAGGAAAAAACATACACATATTTAAAAAAGTACAGCAAATTAACCTGTGCACTACAGACACAACATCAAGCACTAATTCCTGCATGTTTTGCAGAGCAACTTAAATATTTTGATTCATTTTCATTTGATTTTACTGGCACCATCTATTTCCATTGTATGGAAAGAGCAGCTTGGACAGTCTGCTAAATACGTCCTTTTGTATTCCATGGAGGAAAAGATAAAGTGAGGGAATTAGGACAGGAGTTTCATTTTTTAGAGCGAACTACACTACCGATCAAAAGTTTATTTTAATTTTTTTTTTTTTTTTTTTAAATAAATGTTGTTCTTTTCAACTTTCTATTCATCAAAGAATCCTGAAAAAATATTAAGCAGCACAACTGTTTTCAACATTGATAACAATAAGAAATGTTTCTTGAGCAGCAAATCAGCATATTAGAATGATTTCTGAAGGATCTTGTGACAATAAAGACTGGAGTAATGATGCTGAAAATTCAGCTTTGATTGAAATTACATCTGAAAATATATTACAATAAAAAACGATTATTCAAAATTATGTTTTTTCAAATATTACCTTTCATGCAGTGTGTAAAATAGCTGTCTGTAAATGTAAAATGTATGCAAAGTTTCAAAGATCAAACTGCACAGTGAATGGAGTTATTGTCTCCCAAAAGAATCGATTCTGAACTGCCTGAAACGAGTCTCAATTCCTGTTACATACCCATTACCTACTTAACAATGCAACAAATTTGCATGATGCCAGCCAATGCTCTTCATCGGCTGCCCGCAAACAACATCTATTTTGACCCCTTAAACACTGTAGTTATCGCTGAGGTCTGGAAGAGTTTGGTTCGTGTTTCGACATGTTGAGAAGACGCTGTTTTCCGGGCTGCGAATCCATTTAGCATACACTTGGGCATTTTCACAAAAATTGACACCATGGGCGTTTGGTTTCCGACACGCGCTGTAAGTGGTAGACCAATCACAACGGACTAGGCGTCGGACCAATCACAACGGACTGGGCTCAGCTGTTGGACCAATCAGAGCAATTAGGCTCTCGGAAAGGAGGGGTTAAGAGAGACAGAATCTTCGAATGAACCGTTTTTGGACTCTGGATGCATGTAAACCTATTGTAGGAGACCTCCAAAACAAAATTAGTAATTCGCTTTAAAATAGCATAATAGGGGCACTCTAATAATAGTTTACAAAAGTACTGTTTTTACTATACTTTTGATCAAATAAATTTAGCTTTGGAGACTTCTTTTGAAAACATAAAAAAATCATACCGACCTCAATCTTTTGAACAGTATTCTTTGAAAAAAAAAAAAAAAAGTATTTTTAAGTCATACCTAAAAATATGCAGTAAATACACAGATGCTACATAAAGATGCCATGCTGTGAGTGGGTGTGGACTGTGAGCAGGTGGGTGGAGTTAGGCAGGTTAAGGGAGGGTTTACATGCTCCTGAGTGACAGATGAGTCACCTGGTTTCTTGAGAGGTTAGTTTGAGCGAATTGGTGTGCTGTGATTATTCCCTGAGCCCAGCCGGGAGCCGCCTTCTCCACCAGAGTCAGAGGCTAGACATGCAAGCAAAGAGAGAGGGAGACACAAGCTTGTGCAAATACTCAAGCATATAAACTGACTGCAACACTCATAGTTAGTTGCAGCATTAAGTTGGTTAGTTAACAAGGTTTGTGAACAAAAAGCCAGACAGTACAGTATTAGCATACATTAACGAGCTGGAACGAGCATCTGATACCTTGGCAATTTTGGCCTCATCCTTTTTCTTGCCTTTCTGTATAGAAGCGAAATGATGTCTGGCACTGTCAAAGTCTACCAGCTTCCTGTCACGCTTAGCAATGCGAGTCTGCAGAGGGAGCCAGAGAGTCACAACAAAGACCATTTAACACAGTGGTAACTACTATAAATGAGAGAAGCATGCTAAGGGTGTGGTGATTGGTTGCCAGGCCGTTGTTATAAGGTTGCTAAAGTGTTGTGAGTGTTGCTAAGAGTTTGCTAGGGTGTCTATGTGGTGCACCTGCAAGTTTTGATTATATTTTGGTGTCTATATATGGATGGGTCCCTACTTCAGTGTAAGTCTATGATATTTTAGCCAGGCAAAAATCATAAGTCAGATCACTTAGAAAAGCAATAGTGATTCTTAACAAGCCTCAATAATTCCTGTAGCACAAACAACAATTTCACACCAAATTTTAATACACATGGTTAGGGGTTCAAATCCCTAAAGCTAAGTATAAGCAATAGTGAAAGTGGTGCTTACATGCACAACTTATTAAAGGGACAGTTCATCCAAAAATGAAAATTCTGTCATTATTTACTCACCCTCAAGTTGTTCCAAACCTGTATGAATTTTTTTCTTCTGCTGGACACAAAAGAAGATATTTTGAAGAATACGGATAACCAAACAGTTGATGGGCCCCATTGACTTCCATTGTATTTTTTTTCTATACTATGGAAGTAAATCAACTGTTTGGTTATCCATATTCTTCAAAAATATCTTTGTATTGCAGAAGAAAGAAATTCATCCAAGTTTAGAACAGCTTGAGGGTGTGAGTCAATGATGACAGAATTGATCACGGATTTTAGTGTGAACGATCTCTTTTATGCAAAAACAAACCTTTATGTCTGGAAATTGAGCCAAGTATGCATCCATGGAAATGAGGGCATTGTCAGTCAGATTTTGGTGGAAATCTTGCCACAGGAGGTCAGTGTCCTGTAAGATAAATGTGATCAGACACACACACCAAGGCACATACTCTCACACTGACAAACCACAGATGACTCGAGTCTAAATGTGTATGAACAGATCTATTCTAAATATAAAGTACACTACAGGAGCACTACTTTAGCATCACCAGCACCAGCTCTAAACTAGGACTCTAAAGATGTCATCGGTCATGTTTACCTCTAAATTATTATCCATTTCTTTCTCTATCATCTCCTTTACTCATGGAGAGATGGGTGAGTGGAAATCAGAAAAACAGAAAGAAATTGCAAAATAATAAGTCGACAGAGTTTGAAACACCAGTGCGGACACATTCTTCAATTGCATTCAGTCCTAAGAAAATGACTGTATAAACTATGTTACAGCTATGTTTCATTTAATTAATATGATATATTGATAGATAAAAAATGCACACAAATGAGATAATTGTAAAGAGTAAGTGGAGGGCATAGATCAAGGAATTTTGATTGAACTGAAAAATACACTACTGTTAAAAAGTTTGGCTTTGGTAAGATTTTTTAAAGAAATCTCTTATGCTCACCAAATCTTTTGTAACATTATTAAAAAGTGTTAATTTCTGAATAAAAGTATTAATTTCTTACCAAAAATTTACTGAAAGTAAGAGACATTGTTGAGAAACATCCAAAGTTGGTCATTCATTTTAATCTATAGTCTCATTTTCAATAACATTTTTCTCTGGGTTGGTACAGTATCTGGTTTGTGACATTCTTCTGAAACTCTACAAAAGACATTTGATTTCAGGAGGCACATGTGCGAACCAGGAGCCTTAAAGAGAAACAACTGACATATTAAAGAGATGTCCTTTGTGGCTTTGTCTCTCCTATGGGATTTTTCACATCGAAAACACTAATGTCACACAATCCAGAAAGAGTGTTACGTTCTGCCAGTGACATGCTTACACACCTCTGCGATGGAGTCCACCTCCTCTTTGCCAAACCACTCGGGGTCGTACATTTCTGCCAGACAGTCATGCAGACGCTTTGAACACTCGTGCATGGCTGCGGAAACAAGCAGTGGGTCAGCTAAGAGACGGACATTGGCACGTTCACACAGAGGATGAATGCTCAATCACTCAACCCAACACACATGCAGCTTTCCCTTTGAGTCTTTCAGAGAAGTGAGAGCTTTTGTGGTCACATGGCAGGAAGTCGAGGGAACGGTGATGTGCATTAGGACAGCGCCGTTATAGTCTGCTGTACAAAGGCTGTCTGCTAACTTCACATTTATTTAATGTACTACTACTCACCAGTGCTTAAAGCAAAAGTATGATAGCAGCATACTATAAGGAGCCATATTTAAAATCGAAATATAAAGGGACAGTTCACCTAAAAAATGTAATTCTATCATCATTTATTCACCCTCACGTTGTTCCAAACATGTGTGCATTACTCTGTTCTTTTGACACAAAAAATATTTTGAAAATGGTTTCTATTACATTTCTAAAAAAAATAAAAAGCTCACAGACATTTTCAGAATATCTTCTTTTGCATTCCACTAAAGAAAGAAAATCATAAACATATTTGGAACCACATTAATGTGAGTAAATAATAAAGGAAATATTACAAGGAAGAACAAACAAAAAAAGCATACAAAAACCACATGAACAGGTTGTTCAACATGAGGTTGAGTAAATGAAGAACTACCCCTTTTGAGAAGAAACAAATATGGCCAGACCTGAAAATACGTTCCACATGTTTATAACCCAGAAAGAATTTGTGACGCCCTTATCTCTGTTACATGGAGGCAGGTACAGTTATACATGCAGGGCTGAGTTTGTTCAGTCACAATGATCTGCTTTGCTTTGAGAGAATCTCATGTATTTTATCTAAAAGAAGGCTGCATGTAAATACAAAGAAGCATGATTGAGCGATTGGACATTTAGTTCTAATTTTGCCATATGACAACCTGAAAAGATGTTTCTTTATGTTTTTGCACTTGATTGTGTTGAGATTTTCTTTAAAATTAGCATTGAGCTTCCTCTAAATTATGTCATATGTTTCATAAGTGTAATCAAACGAATAATAAACCCAGATTTTTGTGATAGCAACTATTAGGCATAGTTCACCTAAAATAATAAATCTGTCATCATTTACTAACTCCAAAACTGTGTGTCTTTCTTTCTTTCTTCTGTGGAACATAAAAGAAGGTGTTTTTGTACAATGGAGGTCAATGGTCACTAAAACATTTTTGGTTGCCAACATTCTTCAAAATATCTTCTTTTATTTTCACAGAAAGTCAAACCTGTTTGGTACAACATGAGGATGAGTAAATTATCATTTATTTGGGTGAACTATCCCTTTAAAACTATTCTTGTTCACTTTCATTAAATATATACAAAGACACTAGCCTGGTTAAAACCAGACCATTCTCAGTTGTAACTGAGTTATGGTCTGGCAAAGCGTCGTAGACAAATCATTTCCAGAGGGGCGTCACCAACGGACGTCGCGGATAGACCTAAACCCAATCAGAGCGATGAAGGAGATGACGTATGCAGAGCGGCGGAGAATCTCCGAGTGTTGTTCTTTGCTCGGTTTTTAACAAAAAGGAAACGTTCATATCGCTTAAAACAGACGCGATAGCTGATTCGAACGAGTGATGTTCGACGGCGGCATCCATCTTTGTAATGTAGGCTACAAAATCTGCTTCAAAATCCCAGCGCTGTCGACATCGTGTAAAGCCCGCCCCAACGTTTCTGATTGGTGCCTCGATTTCGACGGATTGGAAATGGGTTTGAATGAGCTCTTTGCCAGACTAACTTTCAGAGCAAATCTAAATTTGCCAGAAGTTGTCTGGGTTTTCCCAGGCTACAAAGACACACAATGAGAGTCTTACTTTTGACTGCCACCAAATACGCTTTCAAGTCTTTCTGCAGTTTGGTGCCATCGACCTGTGGATAGAGATCAGAGTGAGATGAAATCATCACTAGATATTTAAGAACTACGAAAAGGGTCAGAGGTCAAATGTCAATGGAAGCAGTATATTAAGCAAGGGGGTCAAAGAGGGTGAAGGGTTAAGGCTCTTACCAGCTGCTTGTTAAAGTTGACCACTCCCTCCTCAAAGGCCGTGTCTTTCGTTTCATCCGCCTTACCCAGCTTTTGCATCACCTACCAGAGAACAACACAAAACAGCCATCACTCACATGCTAACATACTAACACATATCAGTACACAACTTCTGCATTTCATGTGTGCAGGCCAGCCCATGGGTTTGTGGGGCCCAAGGCAAGAATATAAAAATATCATATCCTAATAACCTAAAACCATAAACAACCTACCGTCAATGTGAAATTTCCTTCATTACATATTCACCCTCATATGGTTCCAAACAAGTATGATTTTCTTTCTTATGTGGAACACAAAAGAAGATATTTTGGAAAATGTGAAAATATCCTAACCTAAAACATCCATAAAACAACTGCAAACATGACAAGAAGATTCTTTCTAAGTGAAAGCACTAAAAACATGTCCTAAACAGGCAACATTACATGACAAAGCAAAAATAAATGAAAGGTATCTGTTCCAAATTTCTGTCAGGCAAATGAACTTGTTTATTTTTCACCATTCGTTTAATTTTACAAGCAGTTTTTGGAGTGTAGATGCATATGTGCATCTTAAAAAGTAAAAAAAGGGGTCTCAGATCCCTGCCACCACACATTCTACACAAATGGTGCTTTCAGAATCAGTTCCATGTTCCTCTTCCCCATCAAGAATGCTGACATACAGTAACTGTTCATAAAAAATGAAACTTAACCAAGGAGGCGTGCAACAATGTGTGCCCATGAGTGTGTCATGTACTAAACTTTCCTGCCATCCGCACACCCACCAGAAGTTCAAAGCAAAATCTTCTTTTATTCCATACAATGTTTCCATTATTTAAGACGTAACTATTTCCTAGCAGATGTAATTATGCACATTTCCATTAGTTCAGATTGCCCTACTTCCTGTCCAGCATGTATGAGGTAGTGCTTGTATCCGGTTCTATTTATTCAGAGGTCATTTCCTTTTCCTTCTGCTCCCCCATGTCATCTCCAGCATATTAAACATGCCATGCCATTTGTGACCCATAAAGATTGGTCTCCGTCAGCCTGACATGGGCAACAGAATAACACATCCTGTGAAGTCTACTTTATAATGCCAAAGGGATTCAAGATGAAAGGATGACATTTACAGAATGATGCATCCGTAAATGGTCTCACATTTTCTCCAATAATGTTAAAGAGGTCCTATCTTTAGTGTGTAATGTTGCTGTTTTATCGTGGAAAAGGTCTGCAAAGTAACAAAACACAAAGTCATCCCAAAGGGAGTTATTCCCTTTATCAGTGCACAGTTTCTCAACTCCCTGAAACGCCTTGAGTTTTCTTCTGGGAACGTACACGTCATAATATTCCTCGTTTAAATAATTCCCGCTTAAGAAAACAGAATGTCCACTTCTCTATAACTAAAAAGCTCCCAGAGCAACACATTTTATAGAAAATAACTTGGCTAAACACAACAGAAACTACTAAATTACTAAATCTTGCTCTAGAAGAGCAAAGGAATTCAATAAAGCTTAAGGGGAAATCACAGTCACCCCTAATCTATATTAATAAAGGCCGTGTCAGCTGTGCTCTTCTTGAAGAATGTATGAATGTGTATTACTGTGCAGGGAGTGTTTGAAAGCTGATCCTGAATGCATTGCAGCAGGACCCCTCCCTCGAGCCCCCGACATCTTAAAATACAGTGTCCTGGATCTGTGTCATGGTGACCTGTGCTCCCTGCGCAGAAGAGGAGATCTGGGATGAAGGCATTCTCTCTGACTCAGAGGTCTTCCAGGAACACTGGATATGACTGTTCACCCAGGCTGAGCTAGTGGTTGAACGATATGGATTTTTCAATGGCTGATGAGAGCAGGTGGCTGATGACAGATATGATATAATAATACAGAATTTCTAAGATAAAAAAAACATTTATTTGTACTGACTCACAATTTGCTTTAAATTATCTGTAAATAGAGTGATAACTATTGATCAGCCAAGCAGGCACGTTCAGTGTTTCCCCTAGGATTTTTTTTCAGAGAGGGGGGGCTGAAACTGCTAGTGTTGCGGAGCGGGTGTGTTACGGATACATGGTGTAAATTTTTTAGCAATCAAAAAGTGTGTCTAATTAATTGAAATAATGTACAGTTGAAACCAGATATTTACATACACTTCAGAAATAAACACAAAAACTTTTATTTCTTTACTGTCATACATTAAATCAGAGTAAACTTTTTCTGTTTTAGATCAATAAATATTAACATATTTTTTGCATTTGTTAAATGTCAGAATCGAGCGAGGGATAATTTTTATGTAATTTTTTTTATCACTTTCATCAAAGTCAGAAGTATACATACACTTCCTTAGTATTTGGTAGAATTGCCCCGAAACTGTTTCACTTGGGCCAAACGTTTTGGGTATCCTTCCACAAGCTTCCTACAATAGTTTGCTGGAATTTTGGCCCACTCCTCTTGACAGAACTGGTGTAACTGGGTCAGGTTTGTAGGGCTTCTTGCTCGCACTCGCCTTTTTAGTGCCGCCCACAAATTTTCTATGGGATTGAGATCAGGGCTTTGTGATAGCCACTCCAATACCTTCACTTTGTTGTCCTTAAGCCACTTCATAACTAATTTGGAGGTATGCTTGGGGTCATTGTCCATTTGGAAGACCCATTTGCGCCCAAGCTTTAACTTCCTGGCTGATGTCTTCAGATGTTGCTTCAATATATCCACAAAATTCTCTTTTCTCATGATGCCATCTATTTTGTGAAGTGCACCAGTCCCTTCTGCAGCAAAGCAGCCCCACAACATTATACTACCACCCCCATACTTTACAGTTGGGATGGTGTTCTGAGGCTTCAAAGCTTCGCCCTTTTTCCTCCAAATATACCGTTTATCATTACGCCCGAACAGTTCAATTTTTGTTTCATCAGACCACAGGACATGTCTCCAGAAATTAAGATTTTTGTCTCCATGTGCAGTTGCAAACTGTAGTCTGGCTTTTTTATGGTGGTTTTGAAGTAATGGCTTTCTTCTCCCAGAGTAACCTTTTAGCTCATGGTGGTACAGGACTCGTTTTACTGTGGATAATGACACCGTCTTACCAGTTTCAGCTAGCATCTTCACAAGGTCTTTTGCTGTTGTCCTGGGATTGATTCGCACATTTCGCACCAAAAAACGTTCCTCTCTGGGACTCAGAATCCGTCTCCTTCCTGAGCGGTATGATGGTTGTACATTCCCATGTTTTTTACACTTGCGTATTATTGTCTGAACAGATGAACGTGGGACCTTCAGGCATCTGGAAATTGCACCTAAGGATGAGCCACACTTGTGGAGGTCCACAATTCTTTTCCTGATGTCTTGGTTGATTTCTCTTGATTTTCCCATGATGTCAAAGAAAGAGGCTCTTCTTCTTCTTCTTCTTCTTCTTTTTTGTTTTATTGGCAACCGCACTTTACAGTGCATTACTGCCATCATCAGGTAGCTTGGATCAGAAACACCTCCTATTTTCTTAACATTTCTACCCCTCCCCACCCCTAAAGAGAGGAGGAGAGAAAGAAAAAAAAAAAAAAAAAATATATATATATATTTAACCCACTGACGCTGCGTGTTCAGCTCCTCCAGTTTCCACCCCACCTCCCTTTAACTCCCACTTCTCACCAAACCTTACTTAACCTTCGGATTAACTTTTCCTTGTCCCACACTTTACTTCATACACATCTCTCTACAAGCCTATACTTATTAATCCTACACTCTTTTCATTAAACCTGTATTGTTCAGAAACTGAAACAACACATTGACTGTACTATTTCCTACATTTGAGTCTAATATATTCTTTAATGTTAACTCTTTCCCTTCATTTTTCCATACTTCTTCTCTTAGCACTTCTCTTTCTTCTTCATAACCCTTACAATTAATAATCACATGTTCCACAGATTCACTCTGTCCGCATTTATCACATAATCCTGTTGGATGCTTAGATATTAAATGTAATGTTTTATTCAAACCTGTATGTCCCACTCTTAGTCTTGTAATTATACTTTCCTCCCTTCTATTTCTCCCTTTTTTCCTCCCTTCTCCCACTTTCTTTTGTATTGCATATAAATGTCTCCCTTTACTCTCATTATCCCAATATTGTTGCCACTTTTTAATCACTTTCTCTTTTATTACTGATTTTATTTCTTTTATACTATGTGGTAGAAAGAGGCTCTGTGTATGAGGTGTGCCTTTATATGCATCCACAGGTGTGCCACCAATTAACTCAAATGGAATCAATTAACCTATCAGAAGCTTCTTAAGCTCAGAATGGAATCATCTGGAGTTTTCTTTTTGTTTAAAGACACAATAAACTTAGTGTATGTATACTTCTGACTTTGATGAAAGTGATAAAAAAATTACATAAAAATTATCCCCCACTCGATTCTGACATTTAACAAATGCAAAAAATATGTTAATATTTATTGATGTAAAACAGAAAAAGTTTACTTTGATTTAATGTATGACAGTAAAGAAATAAAAGTTTTTGTGTTTTTTTCTGAAGTGTATGTAAATATCTGGTTTCAACTGTATTATGAATCATTAAACTTATACAACATTTTAAAAAAATATATGAAAATAAATTTCACTAACTCTGTGTTGTGTTTTTTCTGGTAATAAAATGAAGCCCTCCTAAAACAATGGTAGGGGAAACACTGACGTTAATTGGTCTGTCTATATTTGGTTTTAAGCTTAAAGTGAATACACTACCATTCAAACGTTTAGTCTTTAAGATTTTTTTATGTTTTTGAAAGTCTCTTGTGTTCACCAAGGTTGCATTTACTTGATCAAAAATGTAGTAAAACAGTAATATTGTGAAATATAATTTAAATGTGATAGCAAAGCTGAATCTTCTTCAGTCTTCAGCTCTATGTTTCCATCCATTTTTATGCGCATTTTGGGGTATCGGAAAAAAAAACGCTGGAAGGAAATGTCAAGATTGGACGGCAATCACGGCATAACTAGACTAACCAGCGGACCAATCTTGTTGCACAGGGGCTCCTGCAGGATTTGATCTCAGGGTACACAGCACTACTAACTGGACTAAACTGGCCAATCAGATTTATTTTCATTCATCCCCCACCCATGCACGCACATGCACACATTTGACTTTACAACACACAAACGCACACCTTTATTTATTCTTAAACCCTTTTGTTTCTCAATATGTCATGAGTGCTTAACACAGATAGATTAATAATTAATAAAAAAAAATCAGTAAAAAATAAAAAGCGGCACTAGTTCACTGTATGCTTACATTGTATAAGAGCAGAAGGAACATTTTTCACATTGTCTCTTTTTTTATTTCATAGACAAAGGAAAGCCATATGAACTAGTGAGTTTTCATTTGAGAACTTTTCCTTTAAAGAAATAGCAGTGAGTTCGGGCTGAGCTGCTTTCTGAATCGGCATGTTTAATTTATACCATTCTGATCAGACTAGCGCTGAGCATTTGTCCAGCAGCTGAGAGATTCCTCAGTGTGTGCGAGAGAAACATTCGAGCAAGTGAAAGACAAGTTTATACTAATTGATGAAGTCAGCGACCCATTTTATACACCCACTTGATCTGACCTCATGCAGGCGCATATTAATTCTCTCTTTCCTTTATAAGACTCTATTGTTTGATACTACTCTAGTTTTACCATTTTCCTATGGTAAAATTAGACTAACCATAACCCTACGCCTAATAGAAGACCTTTTAGATATAATTTAGGGAAGTATGTCCCCAAGGTTTTTGTCAGATTGATCAACATTTCGGGACAAAACTGTCCAAGGTAAACACACTTCTGCTGTCTCATAGGAGTGGCAAGTGGATCGGCTTAATTAGTCTGTCTGTGGAGCTTTAACTAACAGGTTAAAAGAGGCTTAGAATGAGAGAGATTTACTGAGTAACCTGTGCGTGTGTGTGAATTTAAGACTGCATTCTCCCAAGTAAAAGCCAAATGTCACTTCATCAGTGTTTTATAAAGGACACTGGTCTTTACTTCTGGTCAATGTGTGCTGGTGTTCAGTTACAGCCCCAAAAATACCCCAGACCACAGCCGTTGGCATTCACACACACCACGGTTTGTCGCACAAGGGGTTTCTGGGGATTAGCTCACAGCTACAGCCTGTCTGCTATTCATAGCCCAATCCACACACTGCTCACTAGCTCTATGAGGACGGACAGGTGTGTGGGTGGAGTGCGGAAGAGGGGTGTGGCTCATGCTTGAACATCAGTGGGGCTTTCGATTGGCATGTCGCCTGTCCAATCAGAGCAGAGGTCAGGGGAAGGCTGAGGACACTTTCTTTGGGATTCTAATCTGAGAAAAGGAGGTTGTTGTAACTTTGCACCCATCTCTTGACCTCCACGGTCATTATGACATATTGAGATGGGGAGTCTCCATACTAAATGGACACTTTTGGAATGTTTCTGCAAGAAAGGGTGACTCAAGAACAACTTGCCTTGGTGTTCCAAAATAGTGACAGACATCATCTAATGACAGACCGGTGGATGAGGGAAAAGCGAAGTGTGCGAAAAGACAGGGGAGACTGCTGAGATGTGGGCCATTTGCCACTCGAGGATCATGGTTAACTCTCCTCTACCTGGCTGAGTTTCAGAGGGGAAGAGGAGACTGAGACCTTAATCACGCTGATGGACAGCGGATCATTTGGAGTGACTACACACACACAAAACACACATACAGATACTTTTAGAGTGAGTCCAGCTTTTCACACTCTAAAGACTGCTGAGGACTTCAGGCAGGCTAAACAACTACAGGTACCGTTGCACACAAATATTATCTAGACCCATTGTAAAGTCTACACACAAAAGCAATCAATCCAAAAACATACTAAAAGGATCATTCAGGCAAAACACGAGCTGTATTGACTTTCTTTATGGTGCTTTTTTGTCTAGTTTGGAGCTCAGATTTACACTACCATTTAAAAGTTTGAGGTCAGTAAGATTTTTTTTTTTAAATAAATAAATAAATATTTTTATTAGGCAACAAAATTGCTCAAAAGAGACATTTATAATGTTACAAAATATTTCTATTTTAAATAAATGGATTTCTTTTGAAATTTCTGGTACAAAAATATTTCTGAAAAACAACTATTATGATTTACAAAAAATATTAAGCAGCAGCACAACTTTTTTTCAACATTGATGATAATAAAAAATGTTTCCTTAGCATTCAATCAGCATATCAGAATGATTTCTGAAGCATCATGTGACTGGAGAAATGATGCTGAAAATTCAGCTTTACATCACAGGAATGAATTACTGTGAGTTTGAGGTAACTTTTTAAAATGCATTGAAATAGAAAACAATTATTTGAACTTGTAATAATATTTCACAATATTAATGTTTTTAATGTATTTTTGATCAAATAGATGGAGATTTGGTCAGCATAATATACTTCTTCCAAAAAAAATCTTTACAGAAAATCAACACACAAAGCATCTGAAGATGAGCATCAGGGCCTAGTTGTTCAAAAAGTTTAATCTGGATCAGAATTATCTGGATTTGGAAATCCCATGTTTTGCTAGGATCAGGTAATCAATCTTAATTTTGTGCTGGGTTTTCTGGATTTACTAGTACTCTCTTAGGGACATGGTGATGGAAAAAAATATGAGATGGGGGGAAAAAAATATTTCAATGCTTTTACGTTCTTTTACGGAATTCTTTGTAAACTTTGAGAAACCGAGAAACTTTGCATTCGCTAGCAAACTTTTGACTGGTTCATCTCTTATGATTGTGCCAACGTAGTGATAAAAAAAAAAAAAAAAAACTCCCTTTAAATTAAATAGAATTATATTGTAAAATATTATATTTATAAATAATACCAAATATAATTTTTTAATATAAATAAAATATAAATATATTTTTTTGATATTTACAGATGTTTGGGGATTATTTTATGCCGCCAATATCTCTTTTTTACTATAGGCTACCGAAAAGCTTATAGGTAGCCTAATGTCTACTTCTAAATGATTGCTGTAACAGCTAAACTAATCAAGAGCAAAATAAAAAGTGTGTGTGTGTATATTACATAATACAAATGTTGTATTTTTCGACCAGTTTTAAAGTTGTACTAAATTTTTGTTTCTAAACTCCACCCTTCTGCTGGGATTTGAACAACTGGGCCTATGAGTTCAGCATGTGGGACCGAAGAGAAATGACCCTACAGGAAGAGGAACACAAACACAAATGTAGACAATGATCCTAAATAACCTCTTAACTTTTTACACATCTATATGATTACAAAGTAATGAGTCTGCTTGGTTTATAGGGACAGGAAATGACAAAACTATCTTCCTAAGAAATCTCCTATATCCAAGTCGTCCAAGCCTCTTGTTTGTCTACCATTTATGATGAAAACAAAGATTTTTAATGGCTAAAATTAACCGATTTCCGATGTTTCTTAAATGGCCCCTGCCAAGTGAACCTACTGATCCTAGTGCCAATGCAGATTAGTAATTCGTTTAACCAGTGTGCATGTCTCGGACCCCGAAAGTACACCTAGGGACTGGCTAAATTTATCAAGTAGTTCCTATAACTCTAGTCTTACATCCTAGAGTCACTCAAATCAAAAGCGTGTCACTTTTGCACAGTGCAAGGCTCTGGTGTCCAGCTGTGCGTTCTGGAAGGCCAGTGGTCATTTGGAGTGTTTAGTGTGGAAATGACACTTCCTGTGTAGGTCCTCCTACACTCAGCTGGGGGTCGCGCCCCTGATACCCTGGGACTTAAACTCTGCTACAACATCAACATTTCCAGACTGCTTTATATGTTCAGAGCCAGTAATTCATTTTGTAGTAGACATATGCGGTTAATATCTCTGAATCCATACATGTGACTGTTTTAGGTCCTGTGTGTATCTAAAAGAGGACACTCTGGGCTTTACAGTGATACAAAATGTAACAGGAGATAGCCAGACTAGTTGGGGCATGAGGAAGTTGTCGTAAGTGCTCAGTAATTATAAGGTCCAACTACACAAATGCTTGTTTTCTCTAACAGTGGTTTTGGATGAATCCAAACCTTAAACAAATGAACCCCATAAATTACTACACTGACACACATTCAGACAAGTGCCAAGTATATAATGAAGGTAGATTACCAAATGTTTTCATAACAGTTCAGGGAGTAATAATGTTTCCTAGGCTAATAATTGTACTGTTTACACAATGTGGAAATACCCTATAATAACACATTTTAAAAACAAACACTGTACGATGAGAAAGCTTTTTAAGATTATATTACTATATATAACTATATATTGCCTGTAGCCTATATATATATATATATAGCCTATATACACACAAACACACATTTGTGTGATATTATTGATTGATTCTAAAGAAAATTCTAAATGTCAAAAGAGTTGGGGTCACTACCAGCTGCTGTTTAATGCACTTAATCTCAAATGATCCCATCAGAATTCAAAGTTCAGAGTTTCAAACATAACTTTAACAGAAGATGCTCTGAAAATGATAAATAAACCCATCATTTCCAACGCAAGTGAGCACGACAAACACAGGGGCGAGTATTGAAGCGTTTCAATGAGTTTCAGCTGTTGTTTTTAAAGTCTCGTTCTACTGTAAACACGGTTTCATATCATTTAACTTTTAGCTATCTTAAAACAACTATTCAGAAGTCGCATTTGAATGTACAAACAGCATGGTAAAAATCTAGTTTTATTTACAAAGAGTCAATGTAAGCATGCATACCTTCTCTTGTGCTCGGGTTAACCTCTTCTGTACATTACTGGCCAGTTTCCCGGCGTTGACTCCTTTCCCTACCTCTGCCATGTTTGAGCTTCTTCAAGTTTCCAAAGTGAATAAATAAATAAACCGTTAAGAATAAAGTAAAGCGCAGATGGCAGCAGGCACAGAAGAACAGTAATGTATGGGGAAATACTGTCGGATCAACAGGAGCCAGGAGGTCGGTAGGTATAGGCTAAACCCTCTTAAAGAGACAGTGTTTAGAGTTTTAAAGGTGGACACGGGGTTATTATTATTAGACTAAACCTTTTCCGAACTACGGTATCAAACAATTTAAACTTAAAACTGTCAAGCAATTTACGGTCTAACTGGTTCCGTTATTTGCCTCTAGTCACAGCGACTGGAAAACGAGAGAGAAAGAGAGAGAGCGAGAGCTGGATTATGTTTCCACTTCTTATTATAGACGCTCTCTTAAAGGCACAGGTAAACACAACTGCAATCTCATAGCATCTTTTTTTCCTGCTGAAAAGTTGTACAAAGTCTTCGTGGATTGTTTTTTCCAAATAATATTTTACGCATATTTATAATATAATTTTTTCACTGTAGCTATAAATATGATTTTTAAGCATGAATTTTTTTTAGGATGGGTGGCCCTCGCACCATCAGAATTATCATATTTGGGAGTCTGTGGCATGTAAAAGATTAAAAAACTTTGTGTTATACAACATTAAAACCATGGTCAGATTGGTCAAATTTGCAGTTGTTCATGTGTGAAATCCAGTTATTTCAATAGGAATCATCACAAGCAGAAAGGGAAATATTTCCACATGCAATGGGTTCAAGTTGGTCACGCGTTGACACAGTGATTGGCATTTATTTAGCAGAAGCTTTTAACCAAAAGGAATAATAATAGCCTACAGCACACGAGGTTCATCATGAAAAGTCATTAACATTTAAAGTGCTGCAATACACTTTTATAAGCTGACCAGAACAAAATTTCATCCTTTTTTCGAATGAATGATTTAGTGTCTTGAGCATTTGAAAGATGAGACTTGCCTAAATGTTTGCATGGTTTCATTAGTAAGAGGAGTGTTTCTCTTTTCAATAGAGTCATATCACATGTTAGGTGGGATTCTCATTACATTAAACCTATCTGACTTCCCTTGCACACTGTACTACCAGGGAACAATTATATATATATATTTATATATAATTATATATACACCACACATTATTTAAATTAACGATCTTAATTAAAATGCTAAAAACACAAAAAAATACAGATGTACACCATTTAACTATAAAATCATAATATATCATGATTATCATTATTTTTGTTTATTTATGTTTTTTCTACAGAATTAACCTGAAGTAAAAATCAGCTTAGATAGGATGGCATTGGCTTGGAATCAAAAACACTGAGAACCACTGACAAAGAAAAAACATCCAGCAGATGACAAATTAATATTAGAGAAATCGTAATAGCCAGCAAAGACCAAAAATGAGACAAAATAAATAATTTGTATGAGGTTTAATTTCAAAAATAGATTTTAAATACTTTACCTGAATACCTTATATTACCATAATGATATTACAAAGCATATTTTTAAATTAGTTTAACAGATTGTCTTAAGACTAATGACAATCTAATGAGGAAGGAGACTGGAATACGGGAATAGCGAACAAATATACACAAGGCACAGACAATGTTTGGTCTCTCACAATTCCTGTAGAAGCAAGACCAGAGGTCAGTTTGCAATCAGTTCTTTTTACAGTTAAAGGTAATGTGCGTAATTATTTCGATGTGAAATATTTTTGTCTTTGTTCTATCTAGAGATTAGTAAGGATGATTCTCTTGAAAAGTGTAAACACTTTGCCATTTCTCCATTTGTTTGAGCATCTTGATGAGCCCAACACAGCAACATTGACTCAACCAATGGACCCTTTTCACAGACGGTGATGACACATTCAAATGTATTGTACATTTATATGACTAAACTTTGTGTTATATTACCTTTGCATTAAGGGGACTTAAAATGCACCTTTTCAAAGATTTGATTTTGTTTTCGGGGTCTACCAGAATAGGTTTTCATCCCTGAATGTTCAAAAAACATCTTATTTTTCACATATTTTACATTGTTGCAGCACCTCTCTTCCTAGTCTGTCAGTAACGCTCTAGGATGCGTTGACTAGCAATGCTTTTGGGAAATGCACCCCTGTTTAGTTCCCACTCTATGAATCCCCTCCTTCTGAAAATTACAATGTGCTCTGATTGGTCGGCGGGACCATTGTGTTGTGATTGGTCAACCGTTTCAGAAATGCCACGCGCCTTACCATAACTGCAAGTTTTAACACACTATTAATGCAACTCAAACAGGCCTCGACCTCTTTTTTTGCATATGCCTTGGGTAGGAATTATTTAAATGAGGGATTTTGTAACATGTTCGTTCTCGGAAAAAAACTCAAGACTACAATCGAGGCGTTTAAAGGAGTTTTAGAAACAGTGCTGATTGTTGAAGGAGAATAACTCCCATTGTAACTTTGCAGACCTTTTCATACTCAAACAGCAACATCACACACTAAAGAAAGTTGAAAACATAAAAACATAATAGGGCAGCTTTAAATTATTAAAATACAAAAACCTAGTTAATGTTGCTGTGTGAGCTTTTCTAATACAACGGCAGAGGGAGTGATGGCAAATTTATGGCATTTTTCTCTCTTCTGACTGCTGCAATCAATCACTCCATTTTTTTCTTCATTTTTTCGAATGTTGTGGAAACACTATTGTGGGGTTTTCTTTTGGCATTTGAGCAAATGGGAGTGCAAAAATTATATTTGCTGTCATCTCCCGTTCACCACATTGAAGTTTAACCAACTACGACTTCCTGCAAACCCTGAAAAGGGTCCATGGCGTGAGTTACACACTTCACCTTTATTAAGTAACTAAAAAAGTCTCCATTTCGTCTAACTCAGCACTATCCCCTTAAGTCACAAACCCTGAGCATTCAGTCAACTCTTTTCACCCATCTCGGCATTTCTTTTCAATACATCATCTTTCATTTTCTTCTAAGGCCCAAGGGTGGAAAAGTTCTGAGTCTAGCAGTAGTTTTCCCACACAGAGTAAGACATGAGAGTACCAGTGTAAGCCGTTCTTAAGGATCCGATCCGGGCCGGTCCAGCTGTACAACAGGCGTAAAGGCGCAAATGCCCAGTGAGCTAGCCGTTGTTTGTTCACCGCGGCGTAACATGAGGTGACCACGCCATTCACCACCAAAGTCCCATGGGCAGTGAGTGGGGCGAAAACCCCCTGGTCCTCCCGCACCTCCACTCGAGTGATCCGTGAAACACGCTTCCTGAGTTCCCCTTCATCGACGATCAGCAAACACTGCCCTGGCTGGGCATCACTGGCAAATATCGCCCGGAGGGCACCCGGCATTGGCTGGCCCCCTCTAGAGCAGTTTCCAACCCAGGCAAACAGTAAATGAGCTGCTGTTAAGGAGACGTTGGCCCCATCCTCAGTGCTGATCACATAAAAGTGCTTCTGGGCAATGGGGCTACGGTCCAGGAAGGTGAGGACTTCGCTGTAGACGAGGTCGCCAGTCCCATCACTTCCCATTGAGGCCAGAACAAGGTCTCCTGCTCGCAGGTCTCGGATTGGTCTATGTGTGCCGTCCTCCATTGTCACCAGAGCCTCTCCAGGGAAACAGCCCCCCGTGTTTATTGCCACTGAGTGCTCTGAAGAGAAGATTGAGGAAGGAATGGAAGAGAGGAATGAAAAGAGAAAGAAAGGAATAGAAAATGATTCATTAAGGAAATGGATTCAATGCCCTGTTTCTAATCTTCACTTCTGACTCACTGATATACCTCTGGCCTTTCGACCCTTCATTCATTGGTTGGTCCTACGGTGTTTGCCTCAGTAATTGGTTGAGTTGGTAAATAGGATCAGTGTGGCATCCTCAAAGTGATTGGCCAGGGTGGCGAATCACTAGGCCTTTAACTTCCTCTTCATTGGGATGTTGGTGTATGAGTGCCTCCTAGTGGACTGATTCTGACTTGACTGGCACTGCCAGCAATATTGCCTCTTTAGACTCTATGTTTTTGTACAAATTACAAAATATACATAACAATATATATATACACATAAGCTAGGTATAAAAACCCTGTATTTCTTCTGATCATGTCAGCTGACTTGCATAACGATCTGGGCAGGAAGGACAGGAGAAAAGGAACAAAAGGAAAGAAAATGGTGGGAAAAGGAAAAACAGAGAAACAGATGATGAATATTAAAGATTTTATTATGAAACTCAATGTATGTAAATAGACAAAATAGTCAATCACACCTGTATAAAAGGTGGGCCAAAAAAACAACAAATAGCAAGGCTTATACGCAACCTGCAGACTATTCGAAAGGACAATCTGCAGAATGGATTTAAAGATGATAAAATGCTTTAAACGTGGGTGCTTATTCATATCTTAATTGCTGGCTGAAATCTTCAAAAACAGTAGAAGTTTCTGATTGACGAGTGTTCTGCCAAATCTGTGGCGTTTTTAGGGAATTCTGTGTGTGCAGATTACATTTATATTTATGCGTTGAGCAGATGATTCTGTGTGAGCCTGCAAATGGCTAATGCATTTCACAATATTATGACTTTTTTTGCTATATTGTTACTTTACATCAAAATTATATAATTGGAGATATATAATAGAAGATATAAGAATATTTAATTGTCAATCTGCTTCACCCACAGTCCCCCCCCCCCCCTGTTTGATTAATAGAAATTACTAGAAAAGATTAAATAGCATGTATGCTAAAAGCTAAATGAGCGATGCTAAAGCTACATGAAGTCTGCAGACTTGCATGGAAATAAGAATCAAGGTGAAGCACAGCTAGAAAAGTAGGAAAGGTAAAAGTAAATGTTAGAAATGGTGAACAGAGGAGTGCGTGCATTCATCAGACGGCCCAGTGCTGCAAGATTGTGCTGTTTTAATAGTCATCATGTGAAGCAAAGAAACGATCCCAAGATGAATCAAGCACGGCTCGCTTCATTAGAAAGCCCATAACCCACAGTTTGTGCTGAAACATGAGTCTAATGCGATTCCTTCTGTATGCTCTCACAGTCCATCTCTTGCCCTCATCTTCTCACATTACACGGCTGTGAGAAGCTTTGTTAGTTTTGGTTAGATTAAAAAAAGTTTTAAAAGTAACATGAAATCAAACTTTATCCTATTTACCATCTTAAAAACGTTCCGCTTCGCTTGTCAAGGGTGTGTTTATTTGATCAAAAATACAGTAAAAACAGTAATATTGTAAAATATTATCACAGTTCAAAATCTCTGTCGTCTACGGAATCTCTTTAACTATTTTATATTTAAATATTTTTATATAGCCTATTGTGATTTATTCCTGTGATCAAAGCTGAATTTTCAGCATCATT